CCTCCTTATGTTCGTCATGTTTCTTCCGATGTTTACGATTTTTTTGAAGTAATGCGAAGTCTTTGTTTCTGTAAAGTATCGATTTTTTTGTCCCCAATCGTTTCCTGTGACCTTCAAATGTAAGTTTAGGTTTAGGGTTTCATAAATGTCGCGAATTTCTCTCTGTTTTTGTTCTTGTATCTCGTGGGTAGACCGAAAAAGAGTTCCTTTTTGTAAATTTTCATGTGGGTTCTTGATTTCTCTTTGGCGATTTGTAGATTATTGGGCTTAGATTTCTCCGGAATTCTTCAAATTGATTTGTGGATCTGTGTGTTTTGGTTTCATTGCGTTGGTTTTCTCTTACTGATGATAAAAAGAAACAGTTTTGTGGTTGATATGTCTTGTTCTGGCAGGGCAAAAACAGTTTTGGGGATGACTTCAGATTTGAGTGTTCATGAAGTTCTAAACAGTGATGATGGATTGGGTGAGATTCTTCTTCTGTTGCCTCCTGAAACAATCTATCAGCTGATTCTTGTGTCAAAGAGATGGCTTCAGATCATATCAAACCCTTTGTTCCGTCACACTTACTTAACCAAATGGAAACCGAGCTTTCAACTCGTCGGTTTCTTCGTCTGCAACGCAATGTACCTTGGAAAACGTGCTGATGGAGTCCGTAGACCTCGCTCTGAACCTTCGATTCCTTTGCTCTCAACAAGCAGTTTAGGTGATGAAATGGAATCCACTGGTGTTCTGAAAAAGCTTGGATACTACATTGATTCTTCAAACGGGTTTCTTCTCTGTGGCCGTCATCCGAAAGCTTACTACTTGTATGACCCGAGTACACAGAAGTATCATCAGCTTCCTCGTCCAAGAGTCCATTTCGAAGAACTTTGTATGTCTTTGATCACTGAGGATTGTCCTGATAAAGGGTTTAGCTACAAGGTGATCCGTGCTGAGTGTGTTTGCTTTTTAAATCAGAGTACAAAGGTGAGAATAGAGACTTATATCTCTAAAACCACCACTTGGTGCTACTCTGAGCTGACTTGTTCTGAGCCTATATCTCTTACTCCGTGGTCTCAAGGGAAAGTGATCGAAGGCGTGGTTTATTGGAATGCCCCAGGTGGTAAGGTGGCTATGTATGATTCAAACAAAGAGGAGAAACGGCTTGATGTGATAAAGCTCCCGAAAACATTCGACTATGACGAACAAGTTCTGGGAGAATCTGCGGACGGGTGTTTACAGTATGGATGGAGCAATAAGTCGGTGATGGAGATATGGAAGCTTGAAAAGGTAAACGATGTGCTTAAATGGAACATTCAGCATAAGCTTAGTTTCAAGGTGATGTGGAGGAATAATCCAGTGGAAACTACAAGGTTCAGCACTCGAAGTAAAGAAACGCAGCTGCTCGCTTTCCTCAACCAGAATTCGGACTCGGTGTTCATCAGATGTGACACACACATCTTCATCTGTGACACAAAGACTCAGAAGGTTGAAGATGTTCAGTACCAAGGACGCAAATCTTCATTCGTTTGGGATTTCTGCAAAGTCGTGCCTTACTTTCGACAATCTTGGCCTGCTTCTTCTCTGGTAGAGGAAAAAAACATCTGATCATGAAATCTTCTCCAATCTGTTACCTCTTCCTCAGTAAGTAAGTAGCTTTATGGTAATAATCAGTTTGTGTTTAGGCCTCTAATATCATTCGGTTGTTATGGCCATTGAACTATGGTTTAGTTTTGTTTAGGGGCTTAAGGTCTTTTGGTTTTGACCATTTATGAACCTCTCATGGTCATTGAACTACGGTTTAGCCATTAAACATTGTGCCTTTTGTAATGACCAAGTTTTTGCGTTTGCCTTTTGAATCTGCGTTTTATGATTGGCTCAGTTTGTTACACAGAGAACATAAATACATATATAACCAAATCTAAATCAATTTATTTACAGTGATAGTCAATCTCACTTGTGTAGTTGCACTTAAATTTGGTTGTGGTTGATCCAAATAATATAAATTTTTATTCACCAAAAAAAAAATATATATATATATAAATTTTTGTAATCCATTTATTCAGGAGATGATGTCATAAGGTGGAATGATGACTAAAGGTTGTGGAGAATGTCCACATTCTTTGAAATGTAATGACGAATGTTTGTTTTTTCAGTTTTAAAAATTTAATATAAATATTTAAAAAATTCACGTAGTGATCTAAGAAACAGATCATGTAATCTTAGGTACAGATAATCCTTTATGATCTCATTATTGGTCCATTGATTTTTATTATTTTTGCTTGTAACCTTTTTCCTCCTTTTGTAAAGAAATATAAGCTTAGCTTTGATAATAATGAGCCTTCCCTCATTAAATTTTTATTTATGATTGATAAAAAAAATATTGTGTTGAGAAAAACCATCTTATGAAAGATATTTATAAATATTATTAATATGTATAATAAATGCAACTTCAAGTGAAATTTCAATTGTATGGTCTTTACTACATACTTTTTTGATAAAATCTATTATATGATTATAAAGTTTTCACTCCATCTAAGGTGTTCGTATAAGCAAAAAAAAA